AATTGGTTGAGCGCCTTTAGTGTCTTTGTCATCAGGTTTRCCCACAGACGGTACTAATGGTAACGTTTGTTTCATATCAGCGACTTTAGATTTGTCAAACTCTACCTCTGATTCATCAGAAGAGTACACATGAGTAACAGGCTTAACAATGTCAAGTGGAGATTTTGGTTTATCTACTGGTATCGAAATTGCGTGAGTCTCTTTAGTGCCTTTATCATCTGGTTTGCCTAAAATCGGTATTAATGGTGAAACCTGTTTCATATCAGCGACTTTAGGTTTGTCAAACTCTACCTCTGATTCATCAGAAGAGTACACATGAGGAACAGGCTTAGCAATGTCAAGCGGAGATTTTGGTTTATCTACTGGTTTCGAAATTGGGTGTACGTCTTTAGTGTCTATGTCGTCTTGTTTGCCTACAAATGGTTCTAACGGGAATACCTGTTTCATATCAGTGACCATATGTTTATTATAGTCTTCTTCTATTTCTTCAGAAGAATAAACGTGGAAAACAGGCTTGACAATGTCAAGAGAAAACTTATATTTTTCTTCTGGTTGAACATCTTTGAAATCTGTGTCTTTGCTTTTGGATTCTAATGTGGAAAGTGTGTGTAGAAGAGATGTTTGGTCTTTGATAGTATTAGTTTGATCTCTAAAATTAATTTTATGTTCAATTTTTTCGTCAAGTGTGTTATCTGTATTTTCTTTCGTTATAGCCTTTTGATGGAAAATGTTATTTTGGTGTTCACTGCTGATATAATCTTCGGTAGTCATCAGTTCAGTTTTCTCGGAAGTTATTCTGAAGTCTTTTTGTTTCGGAAGAATGTGAGGATCTGACGTTTTTAACCTTTTTATTTTTTCGTCAGTCCATTCAATGTTGTTTGTCATCGTTAAAGGCACCGGCGGTCTACTGAATGTCTTCAGTTTTAATTGATTTATGTTCAGATGCTCGCATGAGATAGCGTTTTGCTCCTCTTTGGAGGAACTTTCTATTTTATTAATTCCTTTTTTAGTTTCATTTTTCACACTTATCGGTATCGATAGCGGGACAGGAAATCGTTTGATCGTTGAGGTTTCATCGGAAGATTTCACATTTTGTACGCTATATTTTCTTTGTTTAAGGTTCCCTAAACAAACTTCTAGTTCACGCTCATTTTCAATAGTTTCATAAATTTTTAATTTATACTTTTTTATACTAGTAATATCAGTATCCTGTTTGTCAAAGGTTGAGTCAGCATCTTCTTTATCCGTCATTGGGAAGCTTGAATTGTCTATCACATTTGTTCCTCCGATAGGAAATTCGGTTTTATCACATATCGTTTCAATGAAGTCGTTCGCATTATTCGCAGCCTGTGGTTCATCGGTGACCTTAGAAACTACTTCTATCTTATTGTCATTTGGGGTATTCTGATCAACAAGGCTAGTGCCATAATCTCTATTTATTTCAGACATTATTTGTTTTTTAACTAATGGATCTGAAAACTGTTCTACTTGTTCTTTTCCTAAAGAGCTACCCAACCTTGCCTGAGTCATGATTTCACCATGTTCTGGTAGCGCTGATCCAGCTATTGTTTCTAAAATTTCGTCAGTTTGACTAAGACCTTGTTCGCCTAAATAAGTAATGTCTACTTCATTGTCCGCACGAACAACCTGCTTGCGCGCAGGTAATGGTGAGGATTGTAGAGAAGCAAACTTCTGCTCAAATGTTTTAACAACATCTTTGACATTTGGCAAAATACCAGAATCTTCGCTATCCGCTGATGGCAAATCAATTGCTTTTGGTGACTTCTCCATTGGATCTGCCTCATCTGTAGTAACTGACTTAATCTCTTCTTTAGCTACTTCGAACATTTTACGTTTCATGCAGACTTTTTCGCAAATTTCTTCGTTTGGCACGTCGGAGTTATCCAATCTAGTCTCTATGGCCGTTACAGGCGACAGTTTCACCTCTTGTGCTGGTGGCTCATGAGATATAAGGTTCTCCAATGCAAGATCGACATCGGTTAATATTTGACGCTCCAAAACACTCTCATCCACGTGGGCTGGCGTTGAATCACGTTGTCGCACCTTAAATGGTGTTGTTTCAACGCTATAGTCTTGCAATTTATCTTCAAAATCCTTCACCACTTCTTTAACTGCTGGAATTTTTTCACCAATCTCAGCCAAAGACTTTTGCTTGCCAATAGCCGATATTGGCATTATGTTTTTCGCATTTTCCAATTCGATTATCTTGCGCTTAACATCACCCCGTCCCTTTAAATTTTCTGTATTCAACGCATCATCTATAGTCACTTTAGGTGCATTTCTTTTTTGACTATCCTTATCATAAGCTGTGTCGTGTATATGTGACATTTCTGTTCTGGTTACAGCAGTTGTAATGGTTGTCTTAATTTGACTACCACCACTCATTTCTGAAAATGAGGTAGTGTCTCTAAGCTCATCAACTTCGTGTGGCTTAACTGCTCCAGGTGTATTATTCGTGTCGGGCGACTTTTCAGATTCAGTAATCTTGGCAAAACTACTAGGTTTTATATTTTGAATGCTGACGTGCTCTGTTTATGCCGTTCAAATTGCATTACATGAATTAATTTATTTCATTTATTATACATTTTCAGTTGCAAATCCAGTCGGTTAAAAGCGGTTCAAAGGAATATGCGATGTAAAATAACAAGTAAAATTAACACTAATGGATAATACTATAAATATTATCGACTGACAAATCAATGAGGTCAGTTGGTGAGACTATACTATATTTATCTATTTAGTATTTAGTTGACAACATGCATAAGTGAGATGGTGTATTGATTCGTATGATAAATTTTTATGTAGGCACCAAGTTGCATGTGATACGAGTATATGGTGTGTGAAGCAACAAAAAAATAAATTTACAATGATACGACCAGCTAGCCACCAACATAAACAGTTCAAAGCTGCGCATCGCCATTTTATGTTAATACGATTATATGATTATGTGTAGACGTAATATGCTATACGAGGTCGTGGATTATATGCAGCTGGTGTTTCTGTCTTGTTGTGCGAGTATTGAATTATTACCGTTACTTAAAATTACATTTATGTTTACATACAAGTAAGGTAACGTTTGCATTTTTAAATAAATATTAATTATGAAACGATTTTCGAGGCCATTGAGTGTACAAAGTTATCTAAGGAAACAGCACGAATGATATTTTGAATTTTCGTAAAAGCTTGTCCAACCACGACTTCATATAACATACAGAATAATATAGAGAAATGAACGTTAAACGAGATACATACAGCCGCTGCATTGCCTAATTGATTTTAAAAGCATAAAATAATACGACGAGTGTGTAAATAATAAGCGAGTGCAAGAATACTTTTCTTTTCACATTTAATGACTAACCTAAAACCAAAACCGCGTTATAAAATATGGTTATTTAGCGTGTGTTAATAACTTAAAACATCAACATATTTTGTCAGAAAATTTACATATATACAAAGTAATCGTGTCAATTGCATTTTCTCAAACAAAAGACTTAAGTACGAAATTAAGCTATACAAATATAAATCAATTATTATAATGTAAATGTAAGACAAGAAAAATCAGATTTTTTTAACGCTCGGCTTCTGTACATACATATGTATTTATTGAAAGCTATGGGCTTCTCACTCTCATATGGTTCATTTCTTTGAACTAAACGGGTGTCTCATAATTAGCAGAAGATTATATCAAAACACTTGTATACCGATTACTTTAATGCACATCAGCAACTGATACTGTGTGCGATTACCGCATAGCAGATTTTACTACTATAAAGTTTGAGTGAAATTGAAAGTTTTTACTTTTTATTTGAGTTCCCAATAATTTTTTTTTTTTTTTTTTTTTTTTTGCTATGTCTCAATTTACTTTTGCTAAATGTAGTTTTGAGAATTTATTTTATAATTGAAATTTCAAAGACACACTTTAAAAGTGTAAGTTGGCATAAAACCCTTAGCATTAATCAACCGCACATTTTCACCAGTTCAGTTGCTATTTTAAGCAAGCGGAAACTCTCTAGTAAAGGCACGAAGCATTAATTTTTTTGTGCTATTAAGATTAGGATGTACTGGAGTGAGATTGGACAGAACGTGAGAGATTTCTGTTGAAATATTTTCAAGAATCCAATCCTAGCAATATTTATGTGCCCGTTATTTGCACTATGGCAAGAATTGTGTCGTTTCCATTCGTATATTATTCATTGTATGTCTGAAGTTGACTAGTTTGAGACTTTTATGCACTTAAAATCCGCTCAAATAACGACGGAATGACACTGAGCATAAGGAAAGTTGCAACATTTTTCAATTTAGGATATCTTTAAGATAAGTTTTCTCATTATTATTATATTTAAAGTAATCACGTTTTACATATGTGGCATTTAAATGTACACTCACTCAATTTAGTAGGCGAGTCATCTCTTACATAAATACATGACTATTAACTTATACATATGCATATTTCAAACCAAATTGAACAAATTAGCTTGAAGTAGTTTGACTGTTCATCATAATATCTTCCATTTAAAATTGCAAACGTTTAACAAATTCATTTCGATTAATGTATTGTTATGCTATGTAAAATATGTATGCCTGATCTTAGCAATAAAACCAATACACACCGTTTTTTTCCATATTTAATATGATTAATAAATTTCCACTTTTATTCTCAACCTCAGACCACAGGGACTAGGACATGTTTATGTAACTTACCGTTTGATTTCAACGTGATTATTATTGATAATCTTATAAATGAACTTTACTTATTTACGTTATTATAAAGAAACGTACAAATCGTAAATCTACGGCTAGTAGATATTTGGTAAATATTTTGTTTTGATAAAATGAAAACTACATTGGAAATAACTCAAAAATATTTATGGTCCAAAGGCGTATATATATACATATATGTATTTGTGTAAATATTCGATGGGTTTCAAACTTTGTTAACCAACTTTTAGCTTACGAACAGCGAGCAACGTTCACGCGAAAGTCAAGTATCTTACTGTAAACGAATTGTCACTAGCATTTCACAAGAAAGAAAATATTTTCTCACAACTTTGTATAAATTAAATTAGTTAAGGGCAGGCGTACAAACTAGGTGGGAGGTGGCGTTGCCAACAACGAGGCATATCGCGTATGTATATATGTATGTATGCATTCAGGTATGTATTGCTGTAGACTGGTAGTTTCGGAAGTGCAGTCCATGCGCTCCATGACTCAGAAAACTAACGTACGTCGGAAAGGAAAGTGTACGCAGGCACTCATAGTGCTATGTACTTGTAAATACTGTTAAGCATATACATATATGTGTCTTACCTATGACCCGTGTGAATCTATATATGTATGTATGTATGTAGAAACGTGCGTGTGAGATCTGATACTTTGGATATTTTGTCAGTAAAATAACAGCACAGTTAATTAAAATACACAACAACATTTTATTGCGTATGATTGTGTATGTGTTAGCACATTTTGTTTGAGTGGTCTGTCTCTGCTTCTGCAACCTTTAACCTTGGCAATGCAACGTAAGTGAAAATTTCAACAAATCGATCGATATGGAAACCATTAAAGAGTCTTTTGGGTTCATTGGTTCGAAAAAGTTTTGTTGATGACCACTTGCATTCTTGTTTTCATAAGTACGGATATGTATGTATATATGTATGTGGGCTTAACTAACTGCCACTGAGTGCCGGAATGCTAGTACGTTAGTAAGCTAATTTCTAATTAAGGCTATTTAAACGGACTCTTGCACATGATTTACCTCCCTATCATACATACATATATAGTATACGTACATAAGTATCCAAATATAGAGTATAGGGTAATAGAATACTCTCAGTGGGTGTTCGATCCTTACCAATATTCGTTCATAGTCAATAGTTTTATTATTGGTTTTCATCACTACCAGCCGCTAATTCATTCAATTAGCTTCTGATACTTCTTATGACACAAATCCTGATTTTTTTTTTTTTTTTGTTTTCAGTAAGCACTGATAAACATCGTTTTGTACACTATAACATGAATGGAATTTGCACACAAAAAGCCTATGGGAAATCAAATTGTAAATATGTAGATACTGTAAAAAAGTAAAGATTAGATGATACGATAACAGAAAATGGAAATCTACAGTATGCCATACAAACAAAAGAAAATGGTGGTCGATTATATAAGTTTATTTACTTCATAAAATGCTAAAAGGCAACAAAAACATGAGAGTCTCCTAATAATAAATACTGGTAATGGCATTGTTTAGTGCTTACCGATTTTGGAAATTCCCGAAACACGTTCGAATGTCGATTCTGTGGTCTTGTGCAAAGTGACCACAGTGTCAGACAAATTATCTAGAATGTAAGTATATAAAGACGAGTACATTTAAAAGCTATAATATACGGGATCGTGTACCTTTTTCAACGAACTTAGCCCGTGGTAAGGATTCTTCTTCTTGTCTATCAGTTCTAGTATCGATCGGAGTTGGCGGTGGGGTTTGAGAATGTGGTATGTCGCTCGCTGCATAAAAATTGTGAACAATACAATGAATGCTAATAACATTAACGCTTAGATTAAAAATGAATGTGTACCGCTATTTTTGAGCTCGTCACAGATTTCAATTTGTCCCGCACTCATCTTCTTTGTGATCGTTTCCTCTACTGACTTACAAAACTCAGCGTCTGTCAGTGTTATAGATTTGCGTGGTTCCACAGGTGCAGGTGCGGCAAGGTCAAGAGCCGATTTTGGCGAAATTTGTGCATCAAGTTGAGCTGCAGTTTGGTCATTTGATTGCTTCACGATGGGTAATTGTGTGCTTTGTTCTGTCGCTAAGAAGTCATTCGTCATTTTAATGGCATCGATTTTTGTTGCTGCCTCCGTTACTATCTTAGTAATTTCCTCGCTCAGACCAGCCGATTGCAGGCTAGTGAATGAATCTGCCTTCTCTTCTCGCTTCTCATCCGTTGTTGGTATTGTAGATTTTTCATGATAATCAGTTGCAATTGTTTCTCTTACCGGTTTGGTGCTTGTTGAAAACTGTTTTGTTTGCTCTATTGTGAGGAAATCCTCGGTTAGTTTTCTTATACCCACGGCTGATACTTTGTCCGTCTCATTTACAGGAGCAGCCAACTCGATGCCGTCTTCTTCGTGCTTATCGACTACCTTAATGGTTTCCTCTAGCTTTTTAATGGATTCTACAAGTTTTATACTCTCTTCTTTGACCGTATCCGTTACTGCTGAACTCATCTTGAGTGTTGTGGTTTTCTCATCAATTATAATTTCTGGTTCAAAATCTTTTGGAGTTGTCTCTGGCTGGCTACCTTGCGTGAATTTCTCCGAAGCTGTCGGAAGCTGCATGGGCTTCTCTTCACGTTTGATATCTGTAAGACTTTCCTCCAATGATATAATGGCCTCCTCTGTTGAAACTTTCGGTACAGTCGCCATTATAACGCTTGTTGATTTGATCAGGTCACTCATGGCGCTTTTCGTTTCGACCGTATGTGTATCCCTTGTTGGTTGTTCTTCTTTCGAAGCAGTATCGGTTAGAGTTGCTTGTACATCTACCAACGATATTGGTTCTTGCTTAACGTTCAAATCAGTTGGTAAAGCAGGGAGAACAGTTGAACTTAAAATAGATGGCACGACTGTGTGTGTGACCGATTTCAAAAGCTGAAATTTTTCATCTTCGGCTTGGGATTCTCTGGAATATGGCACTTGTTTATGCTGCTCCATTAGCAAGAAATCTTGCGTTAATTTTTTAGTTTGTTCATGTTTAGTGCCGTCAAACCTCATGTCTAATGCATCTTTTTCGTCACCTGAAAAATCACTACTTAATTCCTTGGGCTCAATTGTGGATATTTCTTTGCCAGTTTTCAATATATCTGAAGTGATTTTTGTGTCAGCTGCAATATCACCAACTGCTGATTGAATTGTGGAAGAATCTGATTCCCTCTCAAATATATTTAATATTTGTGTGGTTTTTACTGTTTCTGATTCTACTTGCGTTTCCTTCGTACCTTCCCTCAGTTTAGCGAATTTTATCAGATCATCGACTTCACTATCTTTAATCACTTTCTCTTCAATTTTATCCAAATATGTCGTGGTCGAAATTACTTCAGTCTTTGTTACACTTCCTGGTTCCTGGCTTTTGAAAATTGTAGTAATCGGCTCAGTTGTCAACAATTTATCTTCTATATGCTCTGGTTTTGTGACATCACCTGAGGATTTTTGAATGCCTGTTAGAGTTTTTCCGTCCCATTCTTTTGTGACTTGTTTTAATTGAGCTTTCGTTCTTTCTGCTTCTTTCACTGGCAGTTCTAAGTCAGTGGTAATTTCAAAAGCATCAGCCGTTGTTTCAAACACCTCCGCCGTGCTGGTTACAAATTCACTTATTGGTTTCGTAATTTCCTTTTGTGATCTCTGTTCCATGTACGAGAATTCAGAGCTAGCAATTTCGCTATCTTTCTCAATATGTTTCTCGAATTCTTTTATAATCCCTGTTGGTTTAGGAAAGACCTGCTCTTCTTTGTCATCTGGCATACTGAATTTTGAGGATTGTGTTTCAATAGATGAACGCGTTATTGGCTCTGACGATTTCTCAGAAAATGACGTTCTCTTTTCGGCAACCGGAGCTGCTGGAGCGGTTTCTATTACATCTGTATAATCTTTTGATAATTCATTGGCAGTAGTAATTTCTTGAATAGATTTAATTGCTGGTGACATTTGAGATTTTTGCTCTAACGCTAAAAAGTCTTCTGTAATTGTTTTTTCAAATGACTTAATAGGTTCTTGGTGTGCTTCATAGAGATCATCTGCATGTGTATCTTCGTATTTCTTTAGATCTTTTGGTAACACGGATTTCATATCATAAGTAACTCCTTTTGCTTCGAAATCAGCAATTTTATCTTCAATGGAAGTACCCTTTACTTTACCTTCCATGGCAACTTGGATGGTTTCCGTAATGGTGGACGTTTTACTAACAGTTCCATCCTTCTCGTCAGATTTGCCACTCTCAAATACAGAGATAATTTTTTCAATCTTCTGACTCGATTTCTCGTCCAATTCAGAGCTTTTCATTTCTTTTTCCTTGACCTCTTCGACAAACTTCTCACTGAATGTTATATCTACTGGAAGTTGAGTCTGTTTCTCAGCATTTAAAAAGTCTTCAGTTAGTTGCTTGGTTGTATCTTGTTCTGACTCCATCGGGAAGTCCTGAAGCTTCTTTGACGTTTCGGCGGCGCTGATATCTTGTACTATTTTCAAATTTTCATCGCCCTCAACGATCTTGTATTCGGTTGCTGAATCTTCCTCTTCAGAACTGCGTCCGGATGTCTTTAGTTTGTGCGTCAATTCCTTATCAAAATCGCTTTTACTTATTTCGGCAGAATCCATTTTACCCATTTTCATTTTCATTACTTGGTCAGGAGCAACGGTTGACTTAACTATGTTATCTGTTGGTAACTGCATCATGATTTCCGATTCATGTATAGCCTTTTTATCCTCGATAAGACTCTTACGTTTTATTTCGGAAATTTCTCGTGAGATCTCTTTCTTCTGTGATGAAGCAGGTATTTGCCGTTCGATAGAGAGTCGTTTCACAATCTTCTCTCGTCGTTCGGCAACAGTACGCTTCGTGATTTCCTCATCTGATTCGGACTCTTCTACTTCCTTCTCTTCTGCCGAATATTTAACCTCCTCGTGATCGTGAATCTGTTGAATCCGTTTACCTAAGATACAAAATATTTAATTGCAACCATACAATAGGATATAACTAAGCTTTACTTACTCTCTTGTCGCACGAGTTCCTCCACCGATTCGGAATTTTTCATAATATCAGTTTCGTCAAAGTCACGCGAATGCGAAAGTCGCCCACTTTTACACTTCTTCATAATATCCTCACGGCCAATATTTTTGAGCGCATCTTCTAAGGCGTGAATATCATAATTTGGTTTATCCTTGAATAGACGAATCATGCTTTGGGCCTGCCGCGCAATACTATCGGTATTTTGATTTATAATGTCATCTATCTCCTCCGTACTTATACCGATTTCAGAGGCTAATTGTATCCAATCCTTGCCTAATAAATTCGACAGATCCACAATACGTATATCGCCGATATAGTGATCATTCTGATGTTTACTCAAACTAAAGAGGGAGCTTCGATAGGTGGTTGTGATCTTATCACTGAATTCGGTAGTTGTATCCGGTATAACAATATCCGGTAACACGATATTCAAAATACAGATGGGATGTTGCGGTGGCTCGCCCTTGGCAACTTTGGGCTCCTTCATGAATAATGTACGCCCAACAATGTCAGCGTGTTGATCCTTCACACGTACAGTGAATGGTAGACGATTCTCCCGAAACGCTTTGAATTGCAATTGCAATTGATCACCAGATTTAGTGACTGGCACTAAGTTACCTGCCATTTCAATGTATTGTGGCTTTCCCTCCAGCACCTCAACGTCGCGACTCTTGGCAACTTCTGTAAAGAGTTCCTGCTTTTCTAGTGTTTTATCTTCACGGTCATCAGTCATGCAGAACACACGCAAACGTGCTTCGTACGGTTCCACTTTCTTTGCGAAGACCACAAACTTGGCCATGAACGGCACATGTATTACCTCCCTAAATAAAAAACAAAAGTGTTTAACAATAATAGGGGTATAATTTTCAAGAAGTAAATTCTTCACTAATATTTCGGAAGCATGTTCGACACTGTGTTCTATTGAAAACGCTGCGCAGCTATTAATAGCCGAGATGTAGAGCGATGCACATACTACTTATGGTATGTACCAATTAATAGAATTCTCAAAATAACGAATTTCTTTTTACGACCATTCGTCTGCACTATGTTCATCTCAAATCGAAGATAGACGGTATGCCGTCCGAAAATTTATCGAAAGTGGGGTTAGCCCCTTAAAAGATTCTTGTGTATCTACCAAAATTGAGGGCAATCAGTTCATATGTGATTTTGCCTAATAAAGTATATTAATTGCATAATTAACAATACTTTTCATAAAGAACCGCAGACTTGTCGCAATATTTCACATCATTTCCAATTAACCTACATAGACATTTATTTTTAAAACTTTTTCTCTCTTCTCTTCTTTGAATGTCCGTTGAAATATATCTAACTGTATAGGTGTAAAAGTAGGAGCATGCTATTTTGAGATCTAAATACGCACTTGTATAGTTCGGTTGCCATTTTGGTAGCCTCGGAAATATTTCTGCAGTCCATTAACCAAAATCGTGCGGAGACAGTAGTCGTAAACGAAACACAATCATTCACGAAGGTCAGCGGTGTGGAGCCAGTAACGTCTTCCCACTGGGCGCGAGACGGTCCACCTAAATCAAGCGACACATAGAAAAAAGACAATGCCACAAAAGTAAGATCCTTGCGTCAACGAGCATATCCAACAAAAACATGTATCTTATAATTATTGTTTTTGTTTTTCTACTACAAATTCATTAGCAAAAACTTAAGGAAAAAGAGTTGTAAAAAATGTTTTCAATGAACCAAGGAAATAAAACAATTATTAAAATGGTGTCGCTGTTAAATGAAATGAACATAAAGACAAACCAAAAAAAAAAAAGCTTAATGAAAAGCTTCTAAAGGAGATAGAAGAAACTTAGTTAGAAACTGTGAGGTATGGATGCAAAATGTAAAACTGAGGTAAAATCGCAATTGTCAAGCATATTTGTAAGTTAGCGGTAAATAACATTAAATATATGTACACATATATATATATATAAGTACGAGTATATTGCTTTCAAAATGGTTATACTTCAATAAACAGATCAGTTTAAAGCTATTTTATCGCTATTATACATATTTTTATTTCTTTTTTTTTCGTTTTCTCTGAACAACCTTTTAAAACATGCGCTTTATTAATTAAAATCAATGGAATGTGAATATTTTGTTGTTGTTTTTTTCGTGTAAGTGTCTGAAGGCAAAAAAAAGTATTTAAAAAATCATGACTAATAGCCAAATTAAACATAAATAATTAGAAAGTAAAATTCTTATAAAACAAGTTTGGAGAATGTTAACAAAGTACTGAAATTGAAATAAATATGAAGTCGAAAAGTTCATAATGCATGAAAATAATGTGTGTTATATAAGCTGCGCCGGTTTTTTGGCATATTTATGTATTTCGTTTGTATTTTTTGTTCGTAATAACTGAACTTTTATGAAATTACTGTGATTTGTTTCTTGCTTTCGAGTGAAAATTTTCAAATTATGTGAATGAAGAGCACTTTTCAAAATATCACAACACTATTGTTTAGTTAGAATGTTCCAAATAGTTTCGAATAATGTACGGGCTCCCCTTTTCAGAAAAGTTCTCTTTGGTACCACAAACAGTAGGAAATTCAAATTGTTAGTTTGAAAGTTACATTTGTAAATTCATTTCATTTTTAACATATGTGCAAAAGAATTAAGTAAAGTTATAAATAAATTAACATAAATTAAATTCGAAATTAATACATTTAGATAAAATTCGATAACAAAATTTACTTGTTGATGCGAACTTTCCCGATCAATAAGATCACTTGTTCATTCGTTCATTTCGATCTACAATCCTCTCCATATCTGAAACTATATTTTGTACTTGTAACTCAAAGTCTTTTTCTTCGCGAAGTATCACTTATGATGGAAATAATGTATATGTCACGATGACATCACTAACCAAATTTTCAGTTTCGTTCGCAAGCCCAATCATCGGTAACAAATATGTACTGTTCAACACTGAAGATTTGTTCGAAAGTTTGTTCCAGTCAATGCATAACTCTTTTAATGCAATAAGGTTGGCTTGGAGAGAAGCCTGTGAAAATTAACTCTTGCAGTTTTTCGCCGAGAAACCAGAAAAGTTTTACACTTATGGAAAAATGTCTCGAGCGGAAAAATAGCAAAAAGTGGTCGACCAAAATGGTACATATAATATTTGGTTCAATAAAATTCATTATAAAGGAAGTCTGAAGTTTGATTAGAAATACGAAAATTCTTTTTCGACTACCTAATAGCTATGAAGTTCCGAAACAAGAACTTAGTTTTTGATATTGTTTTGAAGTATTTTGGTTCAAAACCTCTGAATTGATCAGTTTCAGGTCTGTTCTTTTATTTTTTAGATAAAAAGAAAAATGTCTAAAAATTATATTATTGAATTTTAAACTTTCTAACTTAATTAAAATCAGACTAAAATATTCACATACCTCTCAAAAAATATATGTATACGTACATACAATTATAAAATTTGCAAAATAAATATCAATGGTGTACAAAACGGTTTGGAAATAAAGTAATTTGCTCTTTAACTGTATAGTAACTTGTGCAATTCTTAATTAATTTCAAACGTACATGCATATGTACAAAATAGAATAACTTTCGCTCTAAGAAACGCATCAGAAAGTTAATAAACCATAATTTTAAACAGCTCGCTGGGAATGCTAGGAGAAGTATATATGTGTGTAAATGTACTTTAGCCCAAGTGAAATATCTTTCAAATTAACAGACTGTCAGTGAAAAAGCATGGCGGAGACACACTGCCAAAGACACGCCCACAATGTGATTGTTCATCAACATGAATTGCAAAGAAAACCAGTTAAGTCGAATAGCCTTGACAGACGGCAGCGTTAATCCGAACTAACTCCACACTTAATCAGATCCAAATTTGTAGGTGAAGGACGGCAGCTATTTGAGTTTGAAACTCTCTTAAACAGCTGATTGTCATTTTTATAATATTTGTAATGAAAATGGACAGATGATAAGCATTGCTCTTGTTAGCACACCAATTTTTAAAAAAACATTTTTTCTAACAAAAACATATTATTATTAAAACTGCACAATAACATAACTTCATAACATAAAACCTTTTGTTTTATTATGGAAAATTTGAAAAACAACTGTCAGTGTTGCTTGTTTTTCATTCACAATAGATTGAAATTTGCCATTTTCAACAATATTGCCAACGAAAATGCAAATCTCTAAAGTTAGTTATCTTCACTAACTCCTGCATTAATCCGGATTAACGCTGCCGTCTGTCAATGTTATAAAATAACGAATTTGTCAATTGTAACATAATAATATCAGAATAATAAATCTTTGAAACAAGTCATTTTACAATTACTGTGCGTGCTTTTATTTCTCCAACAGCCAATGATTAAGTCAGATTTAAGTAAGTTAAATTTCGACTAATTCATTTACAGTTGTTTGGGCTTACTTGATTACTCTCTATCGGATTGGCTTTAATCAATCAAGTCGTAATTTTTGATATGATAGTGTTTGCCTATAGAATGGTTTTATTTTTTTACCTTTCTCTAGTTCATATGATTGAGCTATTTTGCATAAAATTATATTCACGAAAATCATTTAACATATTCTATTTCGATATAAAAAATTATAATAATAATAATTAAAGCCAAAATTTCTAAGAAAGTGTTTACAATTATTTTGGACCAAAGAGTAACTTGCAGTGAAAACTGTTTTTCGTGATTATTTGTCATATAATGTGAAAAGGTTACCTAACCTATTTGTGCAGAAATTTATGGAAAAGTTATTTTATTTCAGTTATAAAAATCGCGCTTTGTTTACAAATTAATAAAATGAAAGCAAAGCTTAAAGATTTAATTATCTCTTATTAGTTAGTACTTTAATAGCTTATACATTCGCTGTGCATTCGTGTATAGCTCGTATTTAATATCAAAACAAGTAAATGGTGCTTTGCCTTCGAAATTTATGAAATAGCCTCCAAATGGTTTAATATTTATTTTAAATTATGCAGCGGTTGTCTGGTGAAATAAAAGGCGTAGAACATTTTATTTACAATGATTCAATTACAGAGCATAAATATTAGTATATTACTTCGGAAATAAAACCCGTATGAACATGTTTGAGGGAAAACTTTCCAGATTGGTAAGTCGCGGCGGATTTTAAAACGGTATAGCAGTATATTGTACATATAGTATATTTATCTTGAATTTTCAATCATAATTTTAGAATTTGACAACCCCAGCATTAATTTAATGAAAAATTTTGAAAACGACTCTTAAGACATTCGCTTACTTAATTATATGAATTGCTGAACAAATAATAAAATTAATACTTATAATAAAATTTGCGCATTTGTGAAAAAGTAAAAGCAAATCAAACTTATCGAAATGAAGTCCAACAAACCAAAGAAACTTAGGTAGTACATATATTTCGTAGTTAAGTTTTGCTTCAAAGCATATTATTATATATTTATGTATTGGAATAATATAGAAATTGGAGCTGTTTGATCGAAATCGTAAAATTAATCGTACATATATTGATTTCAGTATTTATCAAACAAAAAATTTTCTTGATTTCGTGTAATAAATTTGTTAAAATTTTTTCTTCTTCTTTTTGTAAATTTGATTTGAACTTTGGGCTCAGATATATGTATGTAAATCTAATAACAAATAACTCAAAATACAAAAATGCTTTTGTCTGTCTTAATTGAACTTGAAATTTCATACATGTTTGTGATTTTGAAATTGCTAGTTACCTTTTAGAGATCTTTTCCGAAACACACCTTCAATGATGGAATAAAAGAATGGTATGCGTGCACATATGCATTTACGCATTAGTACAAAATTATATACGAATCGAATACATTTTGAAATCTAAATCAGAGAAAAACAACAAAGGCAATCCGAAATAAACGAAATAAATTTTAATAACTGAATCATTTTTTCAACGAAAAGCCAAACACGAATTAATTAAAAATTATCGAAAAAGTAACGAAATTATTGTTAACCTCATATTGTTGGCATATGAGTCGATTCCATATGTTTGTAGATATGTTCGAATGCATGTGTATTAATTTTGGTGTATGTATGGTGGTGTTACATATGTATTGTGTTCATTGTAGATGCAAGAAAGTTGGGATTGTACAAGTGTTACGTATGATCTGGCGTACGAATTTGGTTTATGGTATTTAAAAGAAAACCAAAACTTATGCGAATACATACAACCATAATGTGATAGAATGATAATTGGATAACAATTTAAGCGAAAACACGCAATTTTTGTAGGTATTATTTACTAGCTTTTACTGACATGTTGAGTATGTGATTATGTACTTTTTACATACAAACATACATATCAATAAAATTAGTATGCTGTATGCTCACTAAATAAACATTCATATTATATAGGTTATCTACTAAATAAGTTATTAAATTTCTGTTATTTAATTCTTCATTTGCTTGAAGCAATTTTTATAGTTGTTGGGTACATGAGCGATCTATAATTACAATATGTTATTAAATGACTATCCTAATATCTATAAGGGCATTTATGTACTTTACTATTAATAACAAATCAAAATATCAAACGAAAAACATTTTAAATAAAAATGAAGGAGTGTGTAAAAGCAAAATGCTGATTGATGACCGTTCTTGTGTATTCACTTTTTAATTTTATATATATTTAAGTTGCTCCCCGACAACTGGAAGATATAATATTATAAAAACAACAAAAACACACAGACATAGCAAACAGAAGACGATAAACAAGACGGGTGGAGTGATGAGTACTCACAGACACCTAACAACTTAGCAGCTACTAACCATCAAAATGGCTTACACCGCAACACACTTAATAGCGTGGAGAAGTATTCATTATTAAGTGCTTTAAAAAGTCAATGATATCAGCTCAATACTTTCGTCAAAACCGATCCGATTCTGATGGATCGGTAATTAAATGTAAATAGACATTTCTTCGAACTCATGAACCCTTAAGTAACCTGGGCTTTGATCAACTTAGAATTTCTCTGATGGATCACTAGGTAAACGTAAATAATCAATTTCATCGAACTCTCGAATCTTTAAGTAACCTGTTCTTTGGTTATCCTAGAATTTCTCTGTTAAATGAACTTAAGAGTCGTTTAATACCTAAATCGCCAACGTCATACACATAATTAGTACATTTTTTTATTTCCAGCGCATGTGCATATATTTTTATATACATTTATAAATAAGGCAGTATATTCTGTTAAGGGTCACACTCTTTAACTCTCAAATTTGTATTTTTCATACCGAATCTCACACTCAGAGATGTTGCTTTCAAATTAGGTTGGCTCATTGCATAATATTTACCGCAAATTTGACGACATAAAGTCCATAAGACGGATAAGACGGATTTGTATGCTTACGAAAGGGCCCTACGTCAGCTGGTTGGGTCAGTTAAGAGTTCTAACTTGAAAAAATAACAAAAAATAATGAAGATGCACACACACATATGTATATATGTTAGTATTTAAGTAAATCGCACTTATGATATCTTAAATATTTATATGGATGGCTTTAGCACATAGAACAGGTATTTACTTCTGGAAAAATACATAAATGTACAAGTAGAAAATTAAAGAAATAAATGCAGTTCTGTATACATAATGTACATACATATCTATAAATGCATATATGTATATGTATTGATCATAATAGTTGATGTTGCTAAACCGTTACAAAACACTATTTTTGGTGCGATTCAGAGGTATTCAAACATGATATTTGGGTCTGTAGGCAGTTTAAATATCAATGACTGAAATGTCTCCCTCTTTCTCAACATTACCACCGACTTAAATGGTTAGGAAAGTAATAAAAGATTATACAGAATTATGTGAGTATGTAGTTTATAGAAATAAATTTTGTCATTTTAAATATGTAAAAAACCAAATACAAAGAAAGTTAAAGTAAGTTAGTTAAGAATCCAACTAAAAACAATAAAATGAACTTAACGCAAGTACAAGTATTTATCCAAACGAACAAATGAAGACAAACATAAATTAAACACCTAAGATAAGTTACAAATACAAATCTTATTTTAAGTAAATATTAACGAATAGTTATTATTTAATTAATTTTTTCTTCTCCTTCTTCAAGACTAATTTGAATTTACTAAGGCTCAATTATAATAGAACGAAACGAACTGTGTAAACATACCTGTTATGGAGCAGAGTAGTCGTAGCGTGGGTGTATTGCCGGAATATTGATTTATCATGCCCTGGCTATGTGCTTTGGGTGCTGGCATGCTCAATGTGATGGCTTTATGGAATTTACGACGACGTGGCTCAACCGTTACAATCGGCGAGACGGCCACACCGCGACCAAGTAGTTTAGCAGTTAGATCTGGATCGACTGGTTGTGCCTAAAATGAGGTAAACACAAGAAATGATCGATACATTTTTGTGATTACCATTGCAGTTATGTTATGGTTAACTGTGAGTTTTCGCTAGTTTAGCGTTCTGTTCTTATATGTATGTATATACAAATGATTATTTCAACATGAAAATGGCCACTTAAGACTAAAGTACAAGTGTTGCGAAAAGAAGAACAAAGCAAGTAGAGCGTATTGAAGCGACAAAGGTATGCATTTGCTTAACTAAAGATATTTTTAGAATTAACGAAATTGAAAAATCCTTTTTTCTTCTATAATTGTACAAAAATGTTATGATTTACTTTACTTATAAATTATATTATATTTTTATTGAATTATATGTGTTTATATGAAATATAAGAAGCTGTTTGGGCTTCTGAGCTAATTGCTGAACATTTTCCTATATATGTGCATACATATAAGGAAGCGTACCTCATATGTATACATATGTATGTAAAGCGCTGACATGTTTAATATACAGTAATGTATTCTACTTCTTGCATCGGCAATTTCTGGTATTACAAATGTTCAGGCCCATTAGCTTCCCAATAAATTTAGTTATCAAATAAACTTTAAAAACTACATTGTTAATGAACTTTTTACTTGTATTTGTTAAGGTATTCTAATTATAATAATAATTATCTTCTTAAGGGCCGTTGAAAAATCATTTTGTATACGAGTATATGCGATATATAGTATTATTTGTAAGTTGCTTTGGCACATTCGAGGCACACTAATCCAGACCCAATTGCATCAACTATTTACTGTGTGAATTTGTGTTGTAACATTTTAGACGCATTTTAACTTATTATTTCTCCGCACGCTTTTTTAAGTAAATGCACACCAACAACAAAAAAAACATTTTGTTTTAAAGTTTATATTGAAACTAAATTTATTGGGTATTTTCGATTTGTCCATTAAGTTTAACTTTAATTATAGTTATATATATTGAGTAATGACTAATTAATGTAAGGTATAGAGCATACAAATGATACATACATACGTCCATACAGAAACATACATATGTTGAATAGGATAGAACAAATACAAATAATACTCAAACGAGTCTAAATGTTCTAAACGTACTAAGTTAGGGTAGTCAGAGGCACGAAAAAATGACAATTTTCAATAATTGTCGTGACAACCATAAATCCTTGGAGGTTCATCTAAAATCAATCGGAAATTTAGTTTTATAAATAGATAATCCTGGACCTGATCGAAGGAATTTTTTTTTTTTTTTAATTTTTGGGGGAAAATCAACAGTTGGTCTTAAAAAATCGAAATTGTTGAAAAAATAAAAATCCTTCAATCAGGCACGAGTTTATTATGTATTCTAAAAGCTGTACAAATTTCATTAAAATCTACTGAGCGGTTTTCGAGTTACAGTTGTCACCAGTTCAATAAATATAGTTTTGAGAAAAACGCGTTTAAAGTTTCACACTAGCGCTTTGAAGTGCCCGAGCTCTCTTTGTTATTTGTCGAATAACTCAAAAACTAATTATCGGATCAACGTAAAATTTTCAGAGAATATTTTTAAGCTATTACACTTAACGAAAATGCAAAAAAAAATGTATTTTTTTGAAAATTCTGACTACCCCTAACCCCTAAATACATAGTAGACTTTATTTATTGCATTAGGTAATTTTTTTTATATTTTAGATCTATATATTATGATTATATTCTATTGTTTATTTCCACCAGTTGATAATAAATTGCATTGCTTTCTTTCAACCATTTCATCTCAAAAATGTTTACTTGATAATTTATAAAGGAAATATGTTATGGAGGAGAGTATAGCTTTATAAATATGACAGCATGGAATCGCGGAGCATCTCGGCAGGATAAAATTTATGTTATACTAACTCTATTGCCGTGCCTATTGCCTGTGGAGATTCCCTATTGCTTATGGAAAGCAATATATGGAATACTAATTAGTATGACATATATTGAAAGAAATAAGCTGTCACTTCAGCAGGTTGACAGCGCAGTTTTCATTTCTATGAAAATTTCGAAGAGGCAACATATACCATTAACACATATGGTATACACGGTTGTGTTATATTATAAAAATAAAGTACATTTTCAAAATAATTTAATAAATGTTTCCAAAAAGATAATATTTAGTTTAATATTGTTAATTTACAGACGTTACAGAGTTACGATAACAAATGCCCACATACAGATTTGGCAATGGCAATAGCAATAGATTTGACAGTTAGTATGCCATGAATTTTGTCCTGTCGAGATGCCCCGACGCCACTTCACTACCAATGTGTTTACTGAGTCTGTTGTTTAATAATCCCTTTCAAAAGCATGGAATTTTCGTTTACCAGTCACTTCATTTCTTTGATTTTCAGTTATTTTACGATATGGATCGTTTTGTAAACTATTCTGAATATTACTTTGTTTGTATGTTTGCGCTGGATTTATTTACCTTTATAACATGCACTTTTTCTAACTAAAATTATAAATTGTGTATCTTCGCCTATTTTAAATCAAATTGATAGCAATCTTCTCTACTCATATGCTCGATAAGTAATATCTACTAAGCTATTTTTAGACTAGTTTTAAGTGAGAGACTAGGTTTATACTGAATGCAGAAAAGTAGGATACAAATAGTTGATTTACGAAGAATATATTATTTACTTCTTACAATATAGTATCTTATTCTGAGAAATAACCCTTCAGATTACGCGAAATAGCAATAATTCGGTAGACCGAAGGTAACAGTATCTCCAAAACATACTATCTGTACTGCATTCTATTGGATGATAACATTATACATAGAGCATAACCAAATCTTATGTTTAGATTCAAATTGTTCTCGATTATGGTAGTTTGCGGCTATGTTTTCACCATAATATAAATGCATATTGATTATGTTTTATGACATCATACATCATCATAAGACTAATTGATATATATTTAACTGTAACGTTATGTTGTTCTAATTGTATACTAATTTTCAAAATTTGTTATGATGAATATATATTCTTTCTTATATATTATATACGTACGCATTCTGCATATAGCTAGTAATAATTCTATTACATATGGAGTTTACCAAATAAGTGAGAAACGCTTCTTCTTTGGAACATGATTAACGCTGATTTTGCGCAATTTTTCTGGTGCAACACCTTTGCGTGGTTTAAAGAGATTTACCTGCAAGCCCACTTTGATCTTTTTGGTGAGTGCACCTTGCGGGAAAACAGCTTGCACTTGTGGCACCACTGTACTGGATACCATGCCTCCCTCGGGTCCGATGGCATGCACCTCTTGGCGTATACGCGAGACCACAGCAAAGTATTGTGGAAAGTCATAGGTAACAAATCGACAGACATGATTGCCACCTTGCTCTTCAAGTTGTGCGATTTCTACGAATATCAAAAATGCATTAGCAATGCAACACATATTTAAAAAAAAAAATTGCTAAAAGTTTACCTTCGGGTTCGAAACATTGTTGCAGCACATCATGCATGATTTCTTCCGAATTGTCGACGGTGTGCTCCCGCCAGGTTTCGCCATTATCAGAGCGCAAAATTATAATTTCGCGTTCTTTGCCACGGAGCGAAGCAAAATGTGGTACTTCCATTATAACGGGACCAATAAATTTGGTGGACACGGGACCCAGCTCCAACACGCGACTGGCCAAAGCTTCACCCTCCATTAGCTGGGGTGGATGCATGGTGCGTTGCGGTTTAACGTAACGGCAAGTCACACGCGTTGGCTGGCAAGTGGAGCGCGAAGGTATAATCATGCGCACACCACTGTGACGGCAGCCACGCATGGCACCACCACGAGCATCCACCAGAAACGATACAAGGAAACTGTAAGATTAAAATAAATATATGACGATTATAAACTGCAAAAAAGCCAAGATTTCGATGGAAACGTGCAACAACGGTAAGGAGATAAATATATAATTCTTAAATTGAACTTAAAATTCTTATAAATAAACCTAAAGTACCAACTCAAATGAAAGTTGTACGAATTTATATTCTACAGAAGATTTGTGTACCTTTTCCAAGAAAGTTTTCGGCTGCATGTAAACAGAGTTTCATAAGTAAATTTCCGTACTCAGTATTATAAGAAACTTTTTAATTTAGCAACTCACCTCATATATTTTTGTTCCTCATTGAGACCATTACCCATATAAATACCGTCCACATAAGATTTCCCAATGCCATGTACTTGAGCCTTGTGTGGACTGATAAGCTCTTCTGCGATGGCCTGCGGTTGCGATGGGCCACCGACTCCACCAGCATACTCAGCACTGTGGGTCATCATGCGATTGGAGTCGATGCGTTCATCACGTGTAACATCGATTGGCAAGGAGTCATCGCCTAAGGATTTCATTTCATCAACTGTCAAATAACGGTAAGGCTGATCGGATAACATATTATCTTCGCCTGGTGGTGATGGATGTGTAGTAGTAAGTTGACGAGTTTTAATATTATATTTGATTGGCATTCCATTACAATCCAATTTTTTTCGATTTGTTATTGCAGTTCATTAGCGGTGTCGGAGCGAACAGTGCAAAAAAAAATTTTAGAAACATAAATAAATATATGCTAAGATTTATCCTTAATTTGAATCACAAACACACATGCATCAATCAATAATCTTTCGGATTAAATATGAAAGCTGATAACGCATTTGCAGTGAAAGGAAACTTAACGGAGGATTATGGAAATAAAATGCTCACATATATGTATGTATGGAGTTGTTTATAAAAAATTTAAATGTTGAAAGCGCACATCAGATTAGATATATAATAATTATAAAAGAAGGGAGTATTTAAATAGCAGACTTATAATTTGGAACGCTGCGTGGGACGCTCCAAACAAAATGGTACCCCTCTAAAGCACTTTCGTATTAGTAAGTTACAGGTGTATGCGCTTGTATTAGTAATACGATTTTCTGTATTACGTAAACATTATATGTGACCTGGTCTACGGAAAGGGGGCTTAGGTGTCAAAAACTCCAAAAAATCAATTTTCACTTTTTAGTTGATTCGAATGGAAGATGAGATTTTTAACAGCTGTTTCCCAGAAAACTAGTTTTATATATTGAAACT